ATATCGTGAAAATGGCCATACTGCCCAAGGTAATTTATAGATTCAACACCATCCCCATCAAGCTATCAATTACTTTCTTCACAGAATTGGAAAAAAACTACTTTAAAGTTCATATGAAACCAAAAAAGAGCCCGCACTGCCAAGAAAATCCTAAACAAAAAGAATAAAGCTGAAGGCATCACGCTACCTGACTCCAAACTATACTACAAGACTACAGTAACCAAAACAGCATGGTACTGGTACCAAAACACAGATATAGGCCAATGGAACAGAACAGAGCCTACACATCTACAACTATATGATCTTTGAAAAACCTGACAAAAACAAGCAATGGGGAAAGGATTCCCTATTTAACAAATGGTACTGGGAAAACTGGCTAGCCATATGTAGAAAGCTAAAACTGGATTCCTTCCTTATACCTTATAGAAAAACTGATTCAAGATGGATTAAAGACTTAAATGTTAGACCTAAAACCATAAAAACCCTAGAAGAAAACCTAGGCAATACCATTCAGGACATAGGCATGGGCAAAGACTTCATGACTAAAACACCAAAAGCAATGGCAACAAAAGCCAAAATTGACAAATGGGATCTAATTCAACTAAAGAGCTTCTGCATAGCAAAAGAAACTACCATCAGAGTGAACAGGCAACCTACAGAATGGAAGAAAATTTCTGCAATCTACCCATCTGACAAAGGGCTAATACCCAGAATCTACAAAGAACTCAAACAAATTTACAAGAAAAATTCAAACAACTCCATCAAAAAGTGGGCAAAGGATATGAACAGACACTTCTTAAAAGAAGACATTTATGCAGCCAACAGACACACGAAAAAATGCTCATCATCACTGGCCATCAGAGAAATGCAAATCAAAACCACAATGAGATACCATCTCACACCAGTTAGAATGGCGATCATTAAAAAGTCAGGAAACAACAGGTGCTGGAGAGGATGTGGAGACATAGGAAAGCTTTTACATGGTTGGTGGGACTGTAAACTAGTTCAACTATTGTGGAAGAAGACACTGTGGCGATTTCTCAGGGATCTAGAACTAGAAATGCCATTTGACCCAGCCATCCCATTACTGGGTATATACCCAAAAGATTATAAATCATG